CGGGCCCTGCCCGGGGTGGGTGCGGCGGCACCTCGCAGCGTCTCCCGCACGGCCCGGGCCGCGTCCCGCCGAGAGCCGGCTCTGGGGTAGGAAGAGGCCGCTGTCCGCCCGAGGCGGGCACCCCCGGGGCCGGTCGCTATAGAGCAGGCTCTGAGGTTAGGCCGGAGGAACGAGACTTGTCCCGGCTACGTGGCCGCTTGTCCCTGAGGGGCTCGGAGGCGTTACTGGCCTTTCTGCTGGCCTGCGCGCTGGTGGTGTGCGGGTCCCTGCCCCGGAGTGGATAGAAAGCCGTGTCAGCCCAGTATATTTGGTAACGTAAAGATTTTTTACGTGCCGCCGAGCCATGCCCGAGTGTTCCTGAATGAAACAGTAGAGCTTGACAAGGATTCAAATGTCTGTCCTGATTTGAGGTCACAGGAGGAAAGGTTTTGGCAACGATCTCTGCCTCCCTCCTCCCCGAACAACAAACCCGAGTTGAGTCCCTGTGGCTTTATTGTCGAAATATTTTTATTCTATGCCTCCATTTTCTGAAAGTGTTACTTTGAACTGCCGGGCTCCTGGACACGTGGATCCTTTATCTGGGATTTAAAATCTCAGTGCAGTGTCCTGACTGTATGTAGCCAGGGTTAGAGCGTTAGAGTCTTCAGTTTTGGTTTTCCAGCATATGGCAGCAAATTACTATCTTAGCTGAGGAGTGCATTTAGATAGTAGGAAGGTTCAGTAGAGATCTCACTTGTGCCAGTTTACCATATCTGTTTCAACTAGGACTGGTGGAGCAGGCAGTTTGTTCAGCTGGAGTTGTTACAGTTTAAAGTTCTTTAGTGCCGAGCGCTGTAAATGTAGAGATAGCCATACTGTCCTCTCAGCTGTTTCTAGCTATGCACATCTGGTTTCTAAGTATACAGAGAAAAGTTACTGGGTTTGTCTATTTTAAGCTTAGTCCAGTAGTTTAATGGATGATGGTAAATATTTTAATTTTGCAGCATTTGGGGGTTTTTTTTTGACATAGGTTTGTATCAGAATCTTCTTTGGGAAGTTTTTCCTGAAGGCAGCTGTATTATCGTAGCTTATATGGGAGGTTAAAACTGTTGTGGATTAGTTGCTACTAATTACACATTTGTTGTTTAAATTTGCTATGCATTTGTTGTTTAAAAGAAAAAAAAAGTCTGTTAGCTTGCAACTGAATCTCTAAGATGTTGCAAAACTCCATTTCAGTTATTCCACATCCACAGTACTAATGCAACTTGTTAATGCAAGTTCTAATTCAGTAACGTTTTTTGCAATGGCTCTTTTGCTACAGAGGAAAAAAAAAAAGTAGTTGTGTTTTCTTGAACTTCATGAAATAGCTGGGCGGTTTGGAAATTTTACCCACACTCGGTAGGAGCAGTTCCATCTGCCTCTAGATCTCCCCACCTGTGTGTTGCACTTCTGCTTGCTTGGATATTGTACTCATTTGATATCTCAGTGATTTCATTTAGCAAGCTGAAATACTACCAAAAAAACCCCAAAATGTGTGCTTATTTTTGGCTGGGTTGCTTTTCTGTTGGTCTAGGGAGCACATTGAATCACAAATTGTTCCTTTGGATGGCAGCAGAATTTTAAAAGGGCTCACAAACTAGTGAAATTTCACTCCAGGTGGAATAAACACAGTGTAAGTTGGTATAAACCCAATATTCTCACTAAAAGGCATTTTGCACTTCAAGCTATGGGTGTCCTACATTAATTGCACTTTTATTTCTGGCTGTGCAGTGTTGTAATGAGGTGTTTCAGGTGGTAGATTTCTCAGAGAGTAGTAGGCGTTAGTCTGTGGGGTGCTTCAGTCTCACTTGGCAGATCTTATCACATGAAAGTAATTTATTTTAATGTATGTGTTCTTTTCTGCAAAATATTACAAAAAGTAATTCCCATGGAATGCACATGGCGATATATTAAGCAGCTGGGATAGCCTGCATTGTCTCAGCTTTCATGAAACCTTGTTTCAGCAAACCATATAAGGTTGTAGTTTGTATTGTATTTTTACTCTGTTTGCCTTCCCCCTCTTTTTAACTTTTTTTTTTATTCATTTCCTAGACATCATTAATATCAGTGGATTCACAGCTCAGATATTTCATATTGTCTGTGGTTTCTGCTCCATACATTAGCAGGATATGAATTATAAATTTGGTTACCTCATGTAACTGTATGTACGCTGCACTTGGATTTTTGTCCTATTTGCTTTTTCTTACTGTTTCATAGGTTGGAAAGTTCTTTTCAGTATCTTTCTCTATACAGTTAACTCGGTTCCGAAAACCTTAAGTTAATGCTGTTCTGGAGTCATGACTTGTTCTTTATTAATGACCATCTGCGCTACAACAGTGTGAGCTTCATTTTTTTGCCTTTTCGTAGAGGTGCCAGGTTTTTTTTTTTTCTGCAAGTAACTTAGCAGTAAGTTACTGTGCTTTTTCAGTGCTTTTGACTTTATGCATGAAAGCATGTATATGTTGGGTTTTTGTTTTTAGCAGTTTGTTATCCTTATTTCAGAGAACTGACTCTGGAAACCTTATAACAGAAAAACGTGTTAAGGTAAATAGTTGTGTATGGGGAGAAGTACAAACTTCAATTTTATTCTCTTGGTGTATAGGCTGCTATTACAGCAGGTCCAAAGACAGGAATGATTTTTGTTTTAAGCTCTTGGAGTTCTGAGTATCTTCAGCACATGGGCTGTTAGATCTTTCTTAAGTTACCAATTGGCACATGGGCTGTCAGAGAAGTTATTTTTCACTTGCTTGTGCCCTTGCTCGTCAAGTTAAAGCTTCAGAGCTTTAACTGACTAAACATCTGAGCTTCAGGTCTAAGCTCAGATGTTTGGCCAGTTCAGCAACTAGAAGTTTTCAAGTGGCACTGTAGCTACTACTAAACAATGTTGTAAGTGCGGTAGTGTTTGGGGGTGGGATGTGTGCTTGCTCTTGAGTTTTGTTTGGTTTTGTTTTATAATAATCAGGACCAGCAAAGAGATTTAAAATACAGTCTGTTAAAATTGGCTTTGCATCCTTCAGGTAATTTGTTGGCAGATATAGTGGATTATTTTAGATGTATATGTATTCTGTGGTGGAGGCAGTGTCTTGCTGCACTTTCTGCTAGTTAAATTTGGGGGCAACAATACTATGCATTGTTGTACCATTTTATTAAGCACTTGATTTAAAATCTTCATTGTAACTTTTTTTAGCCTTTTTGCTTTACTATATACAGGATCGTAATCCTTTCTGAATATTTTGTACTTCATAGGTTTTCTTTGTGAACAGGAGCCTTTACCTGTCTTTGCCTCTTTTGAACTTAGTTAAAGTTTCGTTATGCTTGGATGTAAAACAGTTCACTGATGATTCTGGAATTTCTGTATATTTTTTCTGTTTTCTGTTAATTAGATTTGTCGTGCAGAGCTGTTTACAGCAGAAATAGTGTGTTACCACCTCAAGCTCTTACTCTCAGTACCCTGAATAGACTTGTATTTCTACTGATGTTGCATAAGTAGCAGAAATACTTTGTGGTTCAAGAAATATTCAGTATACTTAAGGCAGACATGAAAAGCTTATTGTTGTGAAGCAGGAGATCTTTCTTATGTGTGGTTTGCGATGTATTTGTCACAATATGACCAATATATAAGGGATTTTTTCCCCCTGCTTAGAAACATGATGTTTCTAAGACTTTTAGTCTTTTAAGACTACCAAGGGGTGAAATTTTACTGTCTTAAGAAGGAGGTTGAGCCATAGTGTCAGCAAACAAAAGACATATAAGGGTATGGTTCTATACTTTTATTATAAATTAAACGCCAGAAGTTGTAGGGTGTCATCAGCAGAGCAGAAGGTCATGTTGGTCAAGTAATGTTGACGCTCTGTAGAACACTCAAAGGTGCTGGTATCTGGTCACTGAAAGCAGACTATTGATGCAGTAGGTACTTTGACATGCCAAGTCACAGTTCAGCAGTGCATATGTGAATAAGCTCTGGGGAAACCTCAGCTATCCAAAAGAGGGAGATGGAAATAAAAGCAGCATAATGCAGATTTTTTAAATTGGGTTATGTTTCTTCGAACTTAAAGCACAGCTCTAAACTAATATACATTCTTTTGTGGATAAGATTTCTCAGGGCAACAATTGCCTAAATTGAATTTATTTTATTGGCCTGGAGTTGTTTCCTTATTGTGTTGCATCTATTGTTCTGTTTACCTTCTGTCAGAATCTGAAAACAAGATGCTGTGCAGCTGCTATATCTGTTGTTAACGTTTGCAGACCAGACACATTTTTCCTTAATTTGTAGTCTGTGGAGCATTCAGACTTTCTTACTTGGTCGCTTTCTTGTGAGCACGCCTGCTTGCTGCTTCAACTATTAAGTCTACAGTGAGATCCTTTACCTGATTATTTAATATTAGGCAAAAATGAAGTAACTGCTATTGAAAAGTTGTTAGAATCAGGATTTGCACAGTGCCACAATTACTTAATGACCCCAGAGCAGTGGCTGATTCACTGTCTACATGTTGCAAACTGCAACTGCATCTGTCATGAGAAGCTGGATGGCATCTTGACAGAGCGGAGCTGGCCCTGAGCTGTACTCTCTGGCAGAGAAGGAAAGTCAGTTGGATAAGAACATGGGGAGAGAGTATGGAGTGTCTGAAGGATGGGACTAGTTAACCAGCTGGGATGGTTGCAGTGCTGCTCCATTCTCTGAGATGTTCTGTGTTTGGCAGGTTGTTGGTGTGTGACAGGGGTAAGAGGAAAAGTATAAGGTATGAATTGATCAGTGCACGTGACATCAGCTAGTGCATCAGTGCCCAGCACAGGCAGGGTGGGAAATCCGTGGGTGAGGAAGGCAGGACCATTTTGTTCCATGGTAGCCTTAGATCCTAGTTTTCATTTTTTATTGCCAGACCTCATTGTCTTTGGTTGCAGTGTTGTCATGTGGTAGCACAGGGCCGTAAATTGCCGTCAAATGGCAAACATTTAATCCCAAAACTTTGCTTGTGTTCTGGCATATGTTGTAATTGTTGATGTGATATGCTGAAGGCCTTCTGCTCATGTATGTCCCTGGCAATAACAAGCTACAAACATCGCCTGTTGACTGCTCATTGTAAACAGCATAATAAGCTGGAGAGAGCAAATTGCCTATGCTATGTCCTTATGATATTAAGAATGATACCATTTATTTCTCAGAAGATGTTACTGGGACAACATTGGGACTTTATTCCACGTCTTGCAGAAAATAACTTTATATAAATACCTGAACAGCTTTCCAGTACCTTATCTAGCATATGCCACGGCATGTGAACTGAGCCTATGTGCTGCTATTTCCCTCTGCTTCTTACAACAGATGGGTAGGTAAGTATTCCTGTGTGCAGCTTCCCTGAATTTTGTGCTGTGGTTCCCTATTTTTATAGACCCTCTGTCGGTATATGAGGTGGAATATCTGTGTTCCCTGTGCTGCACAGTGCTTTTAGTGGCTGATTAGAATGAGTTGAGGGTTTGCCTTTGGCTACCATATGGGAAAATAACCCAACAGGTCAAGGTAGCTTAGCATCATTTGGAAACTGTGGCTTTTTGGTAGAATTCTGAATCAAATAGGCAATGGGTCTAGTTTTCATTCTGTAGAAATGGAAAAATAAATGTGGTGTAAGTTATTCTTGTGGACTGCAAGTGTGGACTTGCTTGATAAGGAGGAAAGATGTATAAACATGAGCTTCTCAGGTACATGTTATTTCAAACTTGATATTTTAAGATTATTAAAAATTAATACTTAAATCATACAAACTTTTTTTTTGTACTTTGTAATTTTTTTTGGTAGAAATAAGTTGCCAACTGAGTGCTTCTACAGTGATAAGTTTCCTTAGGTAGCCATGCTTATGATTTGAAGCATTTGAGAAACTTAAGGATACTGTAGATGGATAAATATGGAAACTGTTTTGCATAGAACTAGCTTTAAGCTAGTAAGATGTCTGAAAACCTTTGAGTAATTCTGGTATGTGTACAACTACAAGACAGAATGAAAATTTGTTTGAAATCTAGTTCTCAAAGTTGTTTAGCTTCTGTCACATTACATCTTCATCTGCTTTGGTTGTGTTGGTGTGTGCTTTTGACAAACAATTCTTTCCTCTTTCCATTTGTGTTTTATTGTGGGACAAGCAGGGTGTGGCTTTGGTGTATGTAGTAGCATTTAAACCTGAGGAACATGCATCTCTGTGGACAGCTCAACAAATGTTTGCAAATAGATACAGAAGAAAACAAAACTGCTGTTGTTTAAATCTTGAGTTAGGCCTTTAACGGCTGGGCAGCCTTTTTGGCCTCAAGCATCTAAGCAACAGACACTGCTTTTCTTCCCTGGGGTTCTGTTTCCATGACCAGTCAGTTGACTCTGCAGAGCACAGGTTTCTTACTGGGTGGATGGGCTGTAATATTAGGGTGAGGAATGCCTTTGGGGTTTGATTAAAATCCTAGGGACATACTGACTTATCTATTTACCTGTAGTGTATACTTATTAACACAAACTTGTCTTTTTTCATGATGGGCTGCTTAATATTTTGTAGAGTTGGAGGAAGAGGGATGACTCTAATCATATGAAAAGAAAATGAAAGATTGATCTTGACTCCACCTACTTCTCACCTTTGAAAATAAGGCCATGATGAAATATGTAAAATAATTAATAGTACAAGAACAAGGTGAGCTAGTACCTTGTTTTTGCCTCATAATACAAGAAGCATAATCAACTAACTAAACATGTGGCATTCTCAAAACCCTTGAATTCTTTCCACGAAGTGAATAATGAGGCCTTTCTAGATCACACACCTTTGTCACTGAAGCCAATAAGTTAGCAAGATTTAAAGAAGATTAGGTTAATTTGCTGTGCAGGGGTTGTTGATAGGTAATAGTGATGCAAGTTTTGGTAGGTTTGGGGGGTTGTAGTTGCTTTTAACTGCTAATAAGGGAGCAATGGGCTCATTATCCTGCCCAGCTCTTATCTATCTCCTTCTGCTGTCTCCAGAGGTACCAGGATCTCACTACACGGATTTTATGGGCATGCCTTTCACAAGTCCTTAGTATTTTAGCAATACCTCTAATTGTCATCCAGTGTTTGCTGCCTGTTCTCCCACATCGTATTTCAAGATACTAATTTTGTGTTTTCTGCTGTAACCTGTAACAGCTGCTTGCTGTTTAGGCAAGCAGCAGCGTGTGCTGCCATTGCCTGGTTTTCAAATGTCTGTTTTCCATGTGTGCTGATGGACCAGACGTTTTCCTGACTGTTGGGCTGTGGAGGCACTGAGCAAATATCTTTGTGGGCCACATGGTGTGCGGGATTCAGCTACACAGTGTTACAGTAGTTGCCTATCAATGGATTGTTTTTTATTCAAATCCAACTACTGTTATACTGTCTTTCAACTTGATACTTTCCTTAGTGCTTATTACTTGTATGTGTGATTTAAGGTTGCTTTTCTTCTTTGAATTGATTAGTAGCTGCTTGCCAGTGCTGCAATACTAGAAAACAAAAAAGTCTTTCACTTCCCCAAAATCAAAGTTTGGTGTGTTAGGGACTTTTCATTCTTCTTTTAGAGAGTTGTTTAAAACAGAACCCATTCACGTTGTTTGTAGAGCTTTTAGGAGTATGTATTGCATGTAGCTTTGAAGAGCCTGATAAATTTTGACAACCAAGAATTCTCAGATAGGAGCATGATCAGAATACTGTGAACAGTTTTGTAAATGCTTAAATGCAAAAGTTACATTGGTAGCATGTAGTCAGTCCTACAAGCCTCTCTTATCTGACTATCACATTCTACCTTTGAAATGGAACTTTTGCCATTCACCCTGAATGTACGATTAAACCATTATTTAAGGTCTAATCTAAGGCTGCAATTTTGGTGGAGTTCATCCATTTTTTAATTAGAATTAAGGCTATAATTTCAATATGCTTAAATGGCTAGTGGGGGAAAGGCAGACTACTTAAGAAAGCTTTTTAATATTTTAAAAGCTGTGTAGTGTTTCCATGTGAACCTCTGCCTGCTGATTTAAAAAATACTAGGTATTGAAAGCATTTTTTGTGATTTAGTGGTGAGGTAATAGTAGTCAGTGTATACTCCGAGTAAATTTAACAAGTTCCATTTCTCATTGTTTCTTGATTTGAGTGAAGGACTCAGATCTTGGGGATGAGGAGGAAGGAAACGTAACAAAACTCCTAAAAAGGCAGAGCTACTTGCTTCCATTTATACAGTTGAGTCAAAATGATAATGAGTACCACAGGAGAGAGAGACAATTTTAAAATCTTGGTTTTTATTTTGTTACCCACTTCGTTATAGGTTGTCTATGAGCAAGAAGGAGTTTTCATACATTCATCCTGTGGAAAAAATGATGACCAGGACAGCTTAATTCCAGGAGTACTACGTGTCATAGAAAAGGTATTTGCATAATACAGTTGTGGAAACTTCATATATTTGTTGATGAAGCATGTAATGTGTTTGGCAAATCTTAAATGTCTTTTAAGTATAGGATTTCATAAATGAACAAATGTCACATAATGGTTGACACTGTCTGCATCATTTTTATATATGTCCAAGTTGCGCCATAGTCGTACTGTGAGTAAGTAGGGATATGTACTTTCTTGTGTAGTATTGAATTTTTTTATGATTGTATTGTAGGAAAATGAAGTAATAGTAGACTGGAGACCACTGGATGATACTTTGGATACTTCTAATATCCTCTGTGCTGGAAAGGTATGCTTGTTAGTTAACAGCATTCTTCATTCTGTTTCTCCAGAGATTTTATTTTGTGTTAATTTATGCATAGATGATCTCATAACTGGAAGCAAAAATCTCTTGATGTGATTATCATTGGTATTAATAGCTACACGTAGGAATTGTATTTGTGGACTGCAGCCCAGTTAAGGTTATTGGGATATATGTGTAGGTGACTGTATTTAGTTTTCACTTGGTTCATATATAAAATAAAGGGGACAATCTGTATGAATAGTAAGTGTATCACAGTCACTGGTCCCCTTGGACCTACTGTGTTGTAGTCTGGTGATTCACTCTTCATAATTAGACTCAAAACAAAGAGGTACTGTTCTAATGCAAAATAAAAATAGAAGTCTATGTAAGTTCCAAGATCCAGTGGTGTGTGGTATTTAAGCAGTATTAATAGGATGTGAGTAAAGAAGAAGAAATATTTAAGTTTTGTGTTTAAATAAAAAGTTTGTTGGTAGTGTCTGCAGGAGAGGCTAGGATATTTTAATTATTTTAATGCCATTTTGAATTTATTAAGTAAAACCTCTTTTATAAGTCTTAAGTTAAAATTTCCTGACTTGAACTGTATCAACTGTTTCTTAGGATTTTATACGACAGATCCTTTTAATCTGTGAAAATGAAGATGCTTATTCTTGTTGAATCTGAGAAACTAGCTCAACTTTCATGCCTTGTTTTTTGATAGTCACTTTTTCCGCCCCCCCCTCAGGATTCTAGTTCTGTTGTGGAGTGGACTCAAACTCCTAAAGAAAAATGTTCCCGAGGAGCAGACCGTCCAAGTAGTTATGAAGCAGAATGGGACATGGTCACCACAGTCTCTTTTAAAAAGAAACATCATTCAAATGGAGGTACATAAAAAAATAAGTGTGGGAGTTTTGTTTTTTTCTTTATGGTAACTTGTAACGGAAGAATTGTCTTTTACATACAGTAAAATGGATTTTATTAGGAATTGAAAAGCTGAGAAATGTTTGTGGTAAGAGGTGAATCTCTGGGTGTTGAAAAAAAAAAAATCACAATAGAATAGCCGCTATCTGCCTCCAATCTAATTTTTTCTTTAAATTGCTAGAGAATTGTATTGAAAATAAATGTTAAATCTAACTTCTTGCTGTGACAATCATTAGATGATGTAGCAGTTACGCCTGCTTTGGGCTCTTGTGTTCTTTCAAACAAATGGAATTGGAAGTAGATGTCGTGTTAGAAAGGAAAATGAAAAAATAAGCAATTTACTACTCAAATGCTTTTCCATACTGCAACAGCAGGGGGAGATGAAATGTACAGTTATGTGGCACATGGGTCTTTTTGTAGCGTCTCTTTAGCAAAATAATTTTATAGCTATACCTTTTTTATTATAGTGTCTCGGTAGATATGTTGTAAAAAAGGAAAAAAAAGAGTTGGGGGGGGGAAAAGGACAGTGATTCTCAATTTTTTTTTCTGGTTCTCCTGTGGTATTTTTCTTTATAATACTTGTTTTCCCCATGTTATTTCTTGGTTTATAACTGGAAATCTTTGTGCTTGTTTCACCATATCTGGGATGGTTTTAAATGTCATTTATGTCATGTCTGAGTGCAGGGTGTGGACTTAAAATTGTGAATGTTCTTTTGGGTAAAGCCACAGTCCTTGCTCCCAGAATACTGTGTTTGAGAGGAGCTTTAAGTGCTAGCACCATATAAAGCTAACACCAGCATCTGGCATAGGATGGTCTATTATGTCACTGCTTTGTATTGATCTTTTTATCTTTAGGCATCAGAGTACATCTTCATCCAGGTGGCTGTCAATGAGCAGTACTGACTTGGATTATGCTTTTGTCACTTCTTGCTTATTTCCACTTGCCCTAATTTGATAGGGGCAGGCCAGAGGGTTTGCCAGATCCCCTCTAGGCATGCTGGAAAACTTGGGCCCTCTGGTAAAGTAATATTTAATCCCTTCTTGTTAAATGTATATAGTCTTGCACAGAGTGTATATACATGCTTGTATACATGGGAGAGAGGGGTGAGTGGGGAGACTTTCAAGTCCTTCTCCCTTACTTTGGTAGTAGTCTTACGATACGTGGCTAATACTGTGCGCAATACATAGCATGCAGCATTGTAATGTATATCACATTTAGTTTAGTAGCACCTGGTGGAGATGCTGGTGGGATTCAGCTTGCTGAATTTGATACAGCAGGTGTATGTTTAACTCCTGGATCACTTTGTAAACTGTAGGGACAGCTTTAGGGGAGCAGTCTGATACACTTGCTCAGTATTTTAGAAGTCTGTATAAGATGAGGGGCACAAAGATAAATCAAAAAATTTTATTATCAGAACCAATGCTGGGTTTTGGGTTTGGGATTGTTTTTTAGGAACAGTGACAGATATGATGCATTTGTAATTTCTAAAACTGGAAGTCAAACTAAAATTATATGGTGATTTTGTTTTTAAGATGTTACAGCTCATGCAAATGGAGAAAGCAAGTGGTCGTTCCTGTTCAGTTTGACAGATCTGAAATCAATCAAACAAAACAAAGAAGGCATGGGATGGTCTTATTTAGTGTTCTGTCTGAAGGACGATGTGAAGCTTCCAGCTCTTCACTTTCATCATGGAGATAGCAAGCTATTGATTAAATGCCTTGAAAAGCATGTTGTGCTGAATGAGTAAGTATCAGACAACCCTTAGTTCTGATTTAAATATGGATTACTGGTTTATTTTTTTTGTAATTAATTTCAGATTAACACTGAATGGTGTATTTTCCTTCCTTTTTTATTAGTAGAATCAATTTTCAAGATGATGGAAATGGTAATTTCACATATGCATTCAGAATGTAGGCTGAAGTTTTAAAATTGTTGGATGAACTCCTTTAGAATCTGTTGAAGAGTTATTAGCTCCACGATACTCTAGTAGCTCCCTCTAGTGGGTACAGAGGCTTCTCATGAACACTCAGTGTGGAGTTAAATCCTTCTTCATGAACCGCTTCTATTAAATGGGATAATCTGTGTTAAAATCTGAGATCTTCCACTTTATGTGAAATATCTGAGTATTGACATCAGTGTGTGAGGTAACTTATAGTACTGTCAACTAAATCAATTTGTATATAAGTTTTCCCCTGGAATTCTGTTCCCTTGTAATTTCTTGCTGTGGGGAGTGTTTCACAATTAATCTTTACTCTTCAGATGAACTTTCTGAATGTAAACATAGTTAGGCCCTAACATGGTGTTAAATACTTGGCTTTTGTTATGTATTTATATTGCATTACCTCTAAGTTTTTCACTTGGATAAAAGCCTTTTTGATTGGCATAGCATGAATGCGGAATAAAATGAAATGTTCTGCTCTCACCGTGTAGGCATAAGTATAATTTAAGAAGGCAGCGGGGTAAATAAGAGTAGGTAGAGCATGAAGTGTAACAGATACACTGATGTTACACCTGTAACAGGTGTAACAGGTATTCGGTTTTCAGAAGTGTTTTGTTGTCACTTGGAACATCATATTTTGGTGACAGATTTGAAGGTGGATAGCGAAACGGCTGTGGGAATCCTTATAGAGGGCTCTTCTCATGCTGGTAGCAACAATGAGGTCAGATTTGCCTTTGACAAGTAGAGATGGCTGTTGCTGAGTAATACTCATTTTTGAAGGCTTTGACAATGTCAAGGTGTGGTGCTGAAGCTGATGATAATCAGAAGTTTTCAACTGCTTGCAGAAGGTAGTGTGGTCAGTGTGACCAGTTGGTGAAATGGTACTGGCTGTAGCATTGTATGTGAGCTTTTTAAGGGGAGAATTCAAGAGGAGCAAAGGAGAGGCTATAGGGGACAAGATAAAGATGTAAGTAAGAATATTCTCTTTGCAACTATAGATTAGGAAATCCTGGATGACAACTTCATCTTAAATCCTGAGTTTTTTCTTCAAAGTTCCCATTGAGTTCTCTCTTAAGCCGCCTTTAATTTGTTTCCTAATTTCACTAGTTCTTCACTACTAATTCTGTAACATGTACTTGATGAACAGGACCAAGTCTTAAGTAGGCCTAGTGAGTGCATTTGACAGTGTAGCAAACTGGTTTGCATTGGCTTAATCAAAACTGTGTACTTGGGACTGTCAACTAAAAACTTTAAAATTTTAGATGAAGATTTTCCCTTATGCCTTCTTTACAGTTAGTCCACTTGAGGCTTTAACAAAAGCAATTTAGAACTGCTGGGTTTTTTAATTGCCACTATTTAAAGAGCTTATTTGAATATGTGTGTGTGTGTATATACACACATACATGTATACACATATGAAAAGCAATACGTAATGGAAAGGTTGATAATTGTAGTACTGCAACTACAGATCTGTTATACTTTAATTTTGGAGTTCTGTGTATTTAATGTTGAGACACGTGGTCTAAGCTTATTTTATATTTAAAGATTTTTGCTCAAAAGCATAAATATTTACAATAAGATACTGCTCTGCTATGTAACAAGTTGTTTTGTCTTTTCATATTCAGGAAGTTTTTTGTATCTTTGGATTTTATGGTTGAAAGTTTTGGATAAAAACCTGCAGGAATCTAAACTAACATACCAGAATATTTAAAACCATTTTGTGAAGTTGGACACCTAAGCTCCTATAAGTCAGACACCTAGATTCTGTCCAGCATTTGGTTGTGAGTTTGTTACTGCGCGTGTTAGGTAGTTTGTGTTACTCACAGGCATTATTTCCAGTTTTATTGAGTCGTGCTGCAAAAAATTATACTCCATGTTGCTATGAAAAATCAATGCTTATTGGTGAGTCACTGAATGAAAATGAAATGGATAGTGATTTTGGGTCCTGTTTCAAACACTGTCTCTTTCAGATAGTCCATGGTGAATGAGTGGGTGCTTGCCATTCTTCCTTTATTTGACCCAGTGGATTCTTAGTTCTTGTCCTTTGTAGCCTCTTGTCAGGTGATATGGATGTTACTCTTGGGACAGTGCAAAGCAGTAGCTGTCAGGTGGGGGAAAAACTGTATGAAGAGAGGCAGTCATGTCCTCGTGTGTCTGATTTCAAAGTAAGGCATTGGCATAGGGTTTGTGCAGTCTGACCCAGTAGCTGTGCTCTTGGGGTCCAGGAATGCTTATCAGATGGAGTTCCCTGCTAAGGTAAGGCAGGGGAACTTGAGGTGATGTTAGCATTCAGGACACGCTGAGCCGCTTAATATTGCCACCTCAAATTGATGAATGCAACAGCAGATACTTCTGTAGCTTTAAAGCTGAGACAGCTGTGGAAATTTAATTTGGATGAAGTTAAGCATTGAGCTGAGCAGGAACTTTTGTTTCAGCTTTCTTACTTAAATTCCTGTCTTCCAGATAATTTGTGCTTCTGGCACCAAATTCTTTTCTATAGTCCTGAATTATGATGACTTTTTTTTTTTGAAGCAAAGCAAAAACCAAATATGCCACGTAAGTTGTTTCCTAAGGGTTATTTATGCTTTAGTACATGATATATCTAAGCTCACAACCTCTTTTAGGAAAAGATGTTTACTCAGCTTTCTGGATGTTATAAGCAAATACCTGGCAGCATAATTACTTGTTATCCCAACCTCTAATTTATAATATATGGGATATTGATGTTAAGGCAGAAGGTTTTAGCTTTTCTCTAAAATATCTTTGTCATAGGTATTTTCTTCCTCTGTTCCTATTACCTCAAAAGTTTTTGCCCTTCTCTAACAACATTCCTTACAAAATGTCATGTCACTGCTGAGAGCAACGTGTTAAATTTGAACAAAATATTTGTAATTTGTTGCTTTAAAGTTTGTGCTTCCTAGTTTGGCAGCACCAGTCTGATATTGAGAAAGCACTGCATGTCAGGATGACACTTTCTAACTCAGAGTATTATGAGTAAGTGTTTAATAAAGTGTCTAGCTCACAAACTTATTTTGAACATTACCCAAGTAGCTGTTGATACCCAACTGGCTGTCCAGAGACAATGTTTAATTAAAATGGAGATTTGGTACAAAGTTGTGGGTTTTTGTTTTTTTCTTTCAGTTAAGGAAAACATAATACATGACTCAGCCTTTGCCCCTGTGCTGCTTTTTAGCCAAAGCCAGTTGAACTTCATTAACTGTTGCTGCCTCAGAACTATGACTGTGGTGTCTGGCTGTCTCAAAATGAGATCTCTTGTTGCCTTTCATATCCGTCGGTGTTAACAGTGTCCTGTCCTGTTGGAACGGGAGACAGATAAGACTTATTAAAGTTCTTATCTTTGACTTTAATAACATGGTAGATGTTGCGGTACTAATAAAAGTAAAAGTAATTTTTCTTTCAAAGACTAGATATAGCGGATTTAAACTTCAGGAGAGAGCAGTAGAGGGGTATTTTATAAATGTAAGTCTGTGTGATGGATTAGAGTCAGATGGTGAAGTGTTTGGCTTTCCTCTGACTGGCCACCAACTGAAGGCTTGAATGTCAGTCTGGCTTCTGAGCTGTTCTCTTTTCTGTCACATTTTGAGCTGTAAATTGGTGATTGAATTGATGGGGTATCTGTGCCAGAGGAGGGGAGAAGATGGGGAGGGGGTGTGGGTGAGAGCAAAAGAATGGATTAAATACTAGGAGCAGCGTGGTTCTGCTGTCTTTGTTACCATTTTCATCTGCCTGTGCAAGTCTGTCAAAGAAGCAAATGTTATATTGAAGAACAAGAGTGTACAAACACAGTGAATTAGGCCAAATCGGGTTTGTGTTCATTTAGCTTTTGGAGTCTACACAGAAACATTTGCAGGGCTGTACTGAGATGGTTCTGTTTCACAGCACAATGGATGTTGTGGTTTTTAAGCTCCTATCAGTATGAATTAGCATTATTCTGACAGTAGCTGTTGTAGTACTGTTTGTTAGGAATTTGTTAATATGTTTTCATACATTGAAAAGCAGTTTGTATTCCTTAATGTAATGTTTTACAGGATGCTTTAATGTAAGATTTACTAATTGGTAGAAAGAAATTCTTAAATGTGTATGATAACATGGACTCTTATCACATCCTCTATTATGTGGAAGGAGTTTCAGTGTATGTGTTGAGTCTGAGGATGTCTCATTAAATTTCTTTTCTTGTCATCTTTTTTTGTCCATTGTCAAATATGGAAAATTATAGTTGAAAAAAACTTTGTTTACATGTGGATGACAAGTTATCTTCCAGAGTAACTTCTCAATAGCATCATGATTTTTCAAGGAATGCAAGAGTAAAATTCCAAATTAATATGATGATGAGTAATCTTGTGAAAAATGAAAGTCCTGTTTTGTAGTGTGTCAGCTTGTGAACTTCTGCCAAGAGCTAAGAGCAATCTTGCATGAAACCTACTTTCTGTGCATATAACCTGAAATGTGACTCGATAAACAGTAAATGTTCTAAACACATTTTCAGGAAGAACTGGTAGTACTTACAAAAACCCTTTTTAATTTTTTTTTTCAGATCTTCACAGGATAAACGGGTTCTTCTTGTGAATTCTCAGAACAAGTCTCTGTCTCAGTCTTTTGAAAATCTCTTTGATGAACCATCATATGGCTTGTTACAAGTATGTATTATCTTTGAATTTTTTGTTCTGAAGACATTTATTAAAAAAACCTCACCCTACCATGTCATGCAAATACTCTGATTGCCATTGTAGAAGCACTGACTGTCTCCTAAAACAAATGCTTTTTATAGAAAGTACGCTTACTTATAAGTTATTTTCTATGTTCTAATAAGTTCTTAACTTCTTGTGGTACTATTTCAAACCTATTCAGGTTAGTGTTGTCTGTCATCCTGTACGTTTTGGTACAGATAGCTTTAGAAAGAGGAGGAAGGAAAAAACTTTAGGAGTTATCAAAATGTATTAATTAGAATTTTCTGGATTTGCCTTGACTAAATGTTCTTTTATTTGATGTTTTCTGAGAGTTTTGAAGAGATGCTGGAAATAGAGCAGCAACAAGCACAATATTGCCTAAAAGCTTCTTTTTATGTTAAAACTGCTTATCATTTGGCAGGGTTTGTTAACTCGTGACAGTCAGCAGCAAAATTTCCAGTGACTTGAATGAGGCCAGAGTTTAGACCCACTGATTTGTTTAATTAAAGAAAATCTTCATGAGTGAATTACATTAGTTTCTGAACTTAATTATCAAATCAAGTTTTGTGTGAGATTACTAGCAGAGTACACGATGATTCAAGATGTTTTCTCTATGAAGGTAGGGCAGCTAGGTATAAGGAAGACATTTTTGTGGCATTAATCACTGGAAAGTAAGCAGTAGATCTCATCCATTTTTATAAGTGGATGTCAGGCTTACTGAATACACCGCTATGCAGTCTTTCAAATCAATCAGAAATACTATCTTAATATTTAAGATATCTTTTTTAAAATATTGTAATGAAAGTACTGTATGAAACTACTGATACATGAAACTTCAATAATATTGAGACTGACAATACTTTTCCTGTTGTTTTGCTTTCTTTGAGTGCAAGAATTCCAAATAATCTGGGGCTTTTTGTATTTTACTTGTTTATAACACAGAAGCTGAAGAAAGATCCATACACAGTAACAATGGGAAGATTTTCCAAAGTCACAAACTATATTTTTGACAGTTTCCGTTTAAGTGACCCTTCAACTCAAAGGAGACCACCATCAGAAATGGCAGACTTTCTCAATGATGCTATTCCGGGGCTAAAGATAAATCAGCAGGAAGAACCAGGATTTGAAGTCATTACACGAGTGAGTGTGTAAATGAATATAATATGGATGCATTGATTCTTTTTATGCACATCCTTAAAGGAGTGGTAGGACTCAAAGCTGTGTGAGTTATACTGTTCACGCCTCACGATTGTGTTGGATGCTGCCCTACCATTTATTCACAACAGTAAGATCATTATCAGCTACTTCTAGAATATGTAATTTTGATCCCTGCAAATAGGAGTTTTGCTTTGAAAGAAAGTTTGTTATTAGTGAAATGAGAACGTTATCTTGGAGTCAGTACCTGGAAAAGTGACCCATTTCATGTTTAGTGTTTCCTCTGGTCACATAGAGCTATATTAAGTAAAATTGGGGTATACAGGTTAATAACCAACTTTCTTGGCTAATGACTTTAACATTTCAGTTTGTTTTAAGAGTGTCAAGATGATCAAAACAAAATATTTAATTGGATGATTAATGTCTAGGTTGTATAAATGTACAGGTTTATGTATTAATTGAACTAAATCTAGAATGAGCTTGTAATTGGATCCTGAATCACTGTGTGGGATCCCGTTGGTGTCTTTTACAGGTTGGTGGAAAAAGTTTATTTTTAAATGCTTGTGATGAGTATTTAAGCAGCTAACATGTTTTTAGAGTGTTAAACTGTTTTGAATATTATTTTTTCTGAAGTTCTAAATAGTATTAATAACTTAGCAGTAGCTGTATGAATTATGTAATTCTAAGAACTTGCCATCTATCATTTAATCAGTTAATTTATTGACCAAAAAAGTATGATGAATGCTACATAATTTAAAATAATACTGTTCTGTATGTCTTAATCTGGCAAATTCTGACTTCTAAAGAGTTGCAACACAAATTGACTTGGTTGTTGCCGTCATCAGAATATTTTTAGAAAGTAAGGAATTACTGTATGTTGAATTCTGCTGTGCTTAAACCTGCAATGTGGGAACTGAGACTAGCCACAAACTGAAACTTTGTTGGGTGTTAGGAGTTCTGAAAGCATGTGTAGTCTTGTTTTGGGGTTTTTTTTAAGGCAGTTTTTTCTGAACTCCTTAGTCTCTTTCACTCTTACCTCCTCTCCTTGGAGAGAAAGGTAGGGGAGAGCATACGTCGTTTGCTTCAGTGGTCAGTCCGGCCCAAGCCATGACAGACAGTGTACTTAAAATTGATCTGTAAGTCACACTGTGCAGTCTGTGTGGGCGTATGATCCCTGAACCCAAGTAGTTTTTCAGTTCTCTTTTAAGATGCACTAGTGTGTATTATGAATGTGCTTTTGAAGTGAAGCTCCTTATTGTCTTGTTTGCTGTGTTGCACATACCTAATACATTTCTAGTTGCATAGAGACCTTTAGTCCATGGGAAGCTAGTTCAGAGGTGTTTGGGGGGGGTAGAAGGTTGTTTAAAACATACATCCATCCTCCTCCAAAATCTGAAATACTAACATGTGTACCCAGGTCCTCAGCACAATGTCTTGTGCTGAAGATCTGCTTGCCTTGGTCCGTGCTACTTGCTAATGTGGACACAGCCTCAGATCCTTAGAGGAATGCTAGCTGAGGTATGCACGTGTGGCAGTAGAGTTGCACTGAATATAACCAAGTGGCAAGCTTAGTACTATTTGTGCAGTTGTTTAAAACTACTGAAGCACTTCAATGGGATTCATATAACGTATTTGCCTGTGTTTCAGATTGATCTCGGAAAACAGCCTGAAGTTAGTAGAAGAGAGCCTGTGTCGGCTGAAGAGTGGGCTAAGAATATGGATTCTGAAGGAAGAATTTTAGATGTGGACTACATAAAGCGATTGATATTCAAAGGGGTAACTTAGTTTTCTGAAGTCAACAAGACCTATGCCTCATTCTCATGACTATACTTCAGCAGTTGAATGAGATTCTTTTGATGAGAATGGGATATTACTCAGCTAATACATTTTTGTCATCTACAAATCATGAATGTTACTTGGAAAGATTTCTTACAAATAGTGACCTTGAGCGAACACTAGTATTTTTGACTGCTTGGAAGATTCATCTGCGTGTTGGCTGCGTATTGTAAGATGAAAGTATTTGTTTAAAAAAAAAAAATAAATGGAAGTCTAGTCCTCCAAATCAGTTTGTGGTGAGACTAAAAGTTTGGCAGTTAGGCAGCATGCTGTTTAAATATTTAAAATTTAAGGTACTTTTTCTGCTTCTTAAAGTCTCTGATGCCCATAAGGTTTTTATTTCCAGCAGTGAAGAAAAGAAAAATCTTTTGTTGAGTTTCTTTTTTGTCTTCTAAGGATGAATCCAGTGCTTCTACAGTTTTTTGCCTAATCATATTCTCTTCCTCCTGTTTTCTCCAAGTGTGATACCTAGTTAGCAGAAAAGATTGGCTACAATGTAAAAAGCAGCTTACTTATAAAAATTCTCTTTTAAGTTGTTACTTTAAGAAGTGATGTATCATTATAGGAAGGTTTCCTCACAAAATTTAAATAGTCTTTTTGTTAATGTCTCATATCTATTTTTCCCTAGGGTCTCTGCCATACTTTAAGAAAAGAGGCATGGAAATTTCTTTTGGGGTATTTTCCTTGGAATAGCACTAAAGAAGAGAGAGCAAATCTGCAAAAAAGGAAAACGTGAGTACGGCAGGGGTTTTGTTACAATATAAACTAAAAAGCCTCATTTTTTATTACGGCATGTAATGATGTAGAAGGCTTTTTTAGCAGCTGTCTTTCAAGCTTGCAAAGGTTATTGAATGCAAAGAAGTGTGTGAGATTTTGTTTAAATGGATTGTTACACTAAAGTAAAAATATTATATAAAAAGGGTTTAGTTATCCTATTTATGCCAAAGAAAAAATTGAATGAATGAATGCTTCTATGAAGAACGAAATGTAGTAACATAGTCTTGGTTTCAAAATTATCTTTCTCCAGGGACGAATATTTCAGGATGAAACTGCAGTGGAAATCTGTCAGTGAGGAACAGGAAAAACGAAATTCAAGATTAAGAGATTACCGGAGTCTTATAGGTAAATTTAGGTTTAGAAACATACCTAACTGCAAAAGTTCATACACTTGTACAATTCAATATGAAGTTGAAAAAACGTAACCCTTTCAGTAACCTGTATGAAGAGGCACTAAAAACTAACACTGCTGTTTTCAGAGATGTCTAAACTCTGTTATATACTTAACACCAAAACTTTCTTAACCAGAGCAATTCAGAGGTTTACACGTCAGTGTTACAGAATGGGTGGATTTTTTATCTTCCTTTACAAAAGACTCTATTTTGTGTTATTTCATGATGTAGTTATACTGGGAATGCCATTAAAATAATGACAATAAGAAAATAATAATTGTAAAATAATACAATAAGAACGTGAAAACGTGTCCGTTTACATCTTAAAATTTCTTACAGGGATTTGTTTATGTGCATTCTGACTTGTGGGGTTTTATACCTATTTTTAAAAATTTCCTCAAGTTCTGCTGTGTATTAGCAGTTTGTGTCCTCAGTTCTCTTTGATAATGAGATTTGGACACCAGTGTTTAGGATTACTAAATAGAGATTCAGGAGATAGACTTAGACCATATCTCAGAATAACAGAAATTTTACCCTATTTCGTCCGGTTACTCAAGAGGCAAGCTGAAAGAGTTGAAAGAGTCTAATCTTAGTAGATTAGTAAATTAAATTTTTAGAGCGTGTGTGTGTTAACAGGAAAAAATATATTTAGAGTTCAAAAAAGGCCGAAGTTTTGTTTCTCTTGAAGCAGTTTTGTTCCTTTTTAAGTGTTTGAAATGTAAATGACAATACTAGGCTTAGGTTCTAAAATAAATGCAAAACTACAAAATACTATTTTATTAAAGTGCACCCAAAATTTTGCTTATTTGGTACATCAATCTTGAATTTCACATTTTTAAAGCATATTCTATATGCTTGCTATTTTTGAGGCATGAAAACTGCCTGATTAAGCAGGCATTTTCAGTTCACTGAGTTATAGGAAGCTGTTAAACAGAACTTATAAACATGCTGTTGTCACCTATCACAGTGTCTTTGTGCTGATTGTGTGGTGACTTTCCTACTATAGCTTATGTGGTATCACATAAGTATTCATAAATGGCATTGCATAGCAAACTCACATAAAATTGTTCTTAATCCCTGTAAGCGTAGAACATTTTCAATGAATTATAATCAAGAATTTTCCCATAAAAAGTATTAACAAAAGAAAAGGCAAAAACCTTTAAAATCTGTTTATAAGCAAATCCTTTTATTCCAGGCAGGAAGGATTTTCTTTCTTTTAAAATATTCTTTATTTTGAAATGACATTTAGTTATGCAGTTGTCTTAAACACTTCAAAGCTTTGCAACAGTGTTTGAGGAAAAAATCAGCAGCTTAAAAGTATTCTGAATTCATTTGATGCTGGCTTTATAGAATGCAAACGTTTGTTTTGAAAATGTTTTTAAATCTGAACTGTTTTCTTAGAAAAAGACGTAAACAGGACAGATCGAACAAATAAATTCTATGAAGGTGAAGATAATCCAGGACTGATTTTACTTCATGATATTTTGATGACCTATTGCATGTATGACTTTGACTTGGGTAAGTTGTGTTCCTCTGAATGTAAACGCCTTTTTAGTTTCTGATACACAGCTTTGCTTATGTTAAGGCCCCTTAATACAATTCAACTTGGATTGATTACAATGCTTTTTGTAAATGTGAAGATTTATATCTTAATAATGTAGATAACTTTGTTCAGTTTCTCATCCTGCTTCTTCCTGTCTTCTATCTGATGCTTATCACAGGCATCTGAATTCATCAGCTGAGGTGGGATTGGGAATTAAGTGGCAGTTTGTCTTCACCGTAGCCCTACTGTTGGTTTTTTTTTTTTAAGAATTAAATCAAGTTTTCAGAGTTTTAAATATGTTTAGGCCTTTGTAGCTTGAGTGCTGTATACATTTTTAAGACTGACGTATCAATAAAAATGATAAACCAGCTGCCACTTCTGTAATTAAAGCTCAGCATGCTGAACCAGCTGTTTGTAAACACAGATTTTTCTTAGGAATACTTTTAAAGCTTGTTCTTGAGGAGTACACTTAACAGTCTGTCAAAAATTACACTTTAGTGTATGCATCTGTTGCAGAAGGAACAGCGTATAACATCTAGTTTTAATCACAGTGTATTCAAGATGTCTAAGTCTTGGCTTCTCTTAATTGTCTTGGAAGGAAGGGAGGGAGCCAAAAGATACTTTTAGCTGGTTCTTCCCTCCTCCCTGGTGTGTAATGTGGCTGTTGTGTCCTTGGGAGTTTTGTTTGGGGGGGTATTCTGTCTCAGGAAAGTGTTGGGATTCCTAAAGCCCACTTTGTGCCAGGTTTTGAAGCTAAATAGTAAGAACAAATCTTAAGCTGCTAGTAAACTTGCTGCAGAGCTTTTGCCCTTTCTGTCAAGTCTGTAGAGAGACTTGATCTTTGGCTTCAAAAACAAGAGGAAAATTAAAGCTGATCGAGAGCGTTTAAGCAGATAGCTCTGTTGCGCATCTTTTTCCACACTTCAACCTGCATTAACACACAGTGATAAGTGAAATTAAAGCACATTCACCACCTGCTCTATTGAAAATATTGCTTAGATGTCTTAAATATATGCAGTCTTCTGTTTTATAAACAAGCAAGAATAATAGGAATATAGTACATTTGACATTGTATCTCTCCAAGGCTTCTAAGCTACTCAAGCATTGGTACAATGCTGCTTTTAATCCTCCAACAGCAGCTGTAGAGAGATCCAAATAATGCCACAGACTGCCAGAGAGAAGAGGGGACAGAACACCTGTTAATACAACAGTTTTTGGAATAGATTCTCAAGTCTGTATTAATGAAACTGGTTGTAATCTTTAGGAGACATCGAAACTGTCTCAAACAGAATGTTCTCTGCATTTATTTTTAAATGTATAGGGAACAAATATTTTTTTTCTTTTTACCTTTTAATTATTTACCTGTTTTCTGTTCCTTGTTTTATTTTCCTTCTCACGCTTGCTCCATATTTTCAGTCATTGATTTGAATCCTCTTTTCAATTCCTCAGTTATAATTAATTCCATTGTTAAGAAATTGAATCAGCCAAGCTTGAGTCTGAGAAATGTCATGTTGAACCAACCACTGATGACTGACATAGACATAAATCATGTTCTCCCTTACTTAAGGAGGTCAGCAGCAATAGGCCAGTAGATAAGCTAACTTGAGCATCAGTGTTAAGACAGGAAGAAGGGGAAAAATTATCTCTAAAAATCCTAGTCCTCTACTCTTCTTAGTTGGGCTGTTAATTGCAAACAAGGAAGCTGGAAGAAGCTTTAAAAAGCTATACAATTCTGAAAATGTTTTGTATACAATTAAAATTTTCTAGCTATATGTAAAAAATTATATTTTTTAAAAATGGGAATTTTATTCTTCACTTACATGTAAGCTTTTATTATAAGGCATACAAGTGCTTTTTAGGGCCTATGAACTTGATTCACCGTTTCTGGAACAGAAACATAAAGGTACTTCCTTGAATCTCACAAGCAATACTTCGCTAATAATCCCCTTAGTTGGATAGATAGTAGTCTTTTGTTGTTGTTGGCTGCTTGGTTACATAGATGATCTTAGGCTTTGGTGCATTTAAAATAACCAACCAAGCAGAACAGTTCCTACTTCTCTAAATACAGGAACCTTTAAAGCATATTCAATGCTAGAAATGCTAAGTGTGAAATCATCTTCATAAAAGCTATTGCACCATATGTTTTCCTGTGATTGAAACTCAACATATCTTCTCCAAATGTGTTTGAAAAAAACATCTTCAGTTGGAGGGAAAAAAAAAAAGTGGGAAGACATAAAAAGATTTTAAATATATGAAAGAAAACAACCAATTATAGATGGAGAGGGGAGAGTAAATATGAGTCTGTGTTTGTGATGGTGCAAGGTATTTATTTAATCTTCTCAAAAATATCAATATATGCTTCTGAGCTCTAAATGGGAACTTTTTATACTAAAAATTATTCTGGAGTCAGCTCAATCTGTATGTATTTTAACAACTACAAAAACAATGTGTTAGGTTTATGTTCTCTTCATTTTGGCAAGAAATGCTGCTAAATCTTGTTAGATCTGCTGGATGTTAGTGGTTATTAGTATAAAACTGTTTTTACTAGTGGTTGAGTTGGAAAATTATAGTATCTATACAAACTGGGAAAGCAAACATTTGTTTGCACTCAGTCATTTAACACTTGAAAAATTGTGTAACTGCTGAGTTTTAAGTAAATTCCTGTTTGCTTTGTGTTTTCCTTTTTCTCCATCAAGGTTATGTCCAGGGGATGAGTGACCTACTTTCACCTGTCTTGTATGTTATGGAGAATGAAGTAGATGCCTTTTGGTGCTTTGTATCATACATGGATCAAATGGTAAAATAAGGCTTTTTTTTAGCCCACGTAAACAGTTAACCTATGGATAACATTTGGGGTTAATCTTGTTTTATAAATTTCATTATTTTTTTTTAATTCTTTTAAAGCAATCATCTTATGTTTGAAGTCAATGTTTTCTCTGATTGACACAGATTATGTTGGGTTTGTGATACTATTGCTGTTCAGTAAAGACAAATTCGGCTCCTTGGAAATTCTAAAGTAACTCAGAGCCATCACAGCCAAATTTGTATTAATCAGGACTCTTTTGTTCAGAATTGACAGTTCCCTCTCATACTTGCCTTTTGGTATTTGTTAAATGTAATTTAGCCTTTCCACAAACTGAAGCTTTTATGAATTGTGCATGTGGCGAAACAATGTGTGACTGGTATGAGAATTTAAAAGAAGTTGTCTTCTTGGTTTGAGTGCAGTGGTGCTGCTTGGAGGTACAAAGCATAGGCTGACTTAAAATACCGCTTATTACATACAGGTGTTATCAAAGAAAGAAAGAAGAAACAGTTCACTGTTTTGTTAAACCTTTCAATAAAGGCAGACATTTCATTAGACGGAAGTACAGTTGAATATCCATATGTTAAATACCTAAAGGATGAGAACCACTGTTACAATAACAAAACATTTTTTTTTAAATTAAAAATAGCTGTAAATATCAAAATTATCATTGAGTTAATAAAAATGACAGTGCTAATATTTTATTCCATCCAGCATCAGAATTTTGAAGAACAGATGCAGGGTATGAAGACACAACTAATTCAGCTGAGTACTTTGCTCCGTTTACTAGACAGTGGATTTTGCAGTTATTTAGGTAGGTGTATTATTCATGCACAATTATTAAAACAACTTACTGCATTCTGTGTGCATTGATATCCTCACCAGTCTTTAAACATAATTCCAATAGTAATATTTTATGAATACAGAATGTGTAAATTAATAACGCCTGAAAGATTTCAGTAATTGCTCTGTGCCTATTGAAAAACAGGATCATCTTGTTACTGATTTTAAAAACTTGCCATCCTCTGGCAAGTATTTTTGATTCTGAAAAGGTGCTTCCGTCTTAAAAATTGGTGGTGTGACTGTGTACCTGTAAAGTGTGTTGGTTTGTTGAGGTTGTTTTTTTTATTTTCGCCTGTTATCATAACCAAATTTGGTGTTTATGAAATGCTCTTATTTCTAGAATCTCAAGACTCAGGCTACCTTTATTTTTGCTTCCGGTGGCTTCTTATCCGATTTAAAAGGGAATTTAGTTTTCAAGATATTCTTCGACTCTGGGAGGTAAGAAGATTTCATCACACAAACTCCAGCAGTCTTTGGACTTTAGAATGAAAAGCTTGGGTCATTCTTCAAAGTGATTAATACTCTAATAGATTTAAAAAAAACCCCAACAACCTGATTCATTGCAGTAAACTGAGGACATATTAGCATATGTTAAGTCTTTTAACCAAAAAAATCAAACTGGGAAGTTAACAGAAAAAAATACTTGTAAGAGCTGGTGGGGATAAATTGGCTTTTTCAAAAAAGTTTGGACACGATCCTTCAGATGAGACTTAAGTGAAAGTAGTAAGTGGAGAGTACCAGTTAACTTTTAATGGAAAACTGTTTATGCTAGAAGAAATAGCAGTTGTTTGTGTCTCTGGTCAGTTCCTTGATAGTGGTAGTACTTTCTAGATTAAGTGGCATGAAGCAGTGGCAGGGTGGTTCTTGTGTTACCCAAAATCATGAAGAGGATGATATCAGAAGACCCAGTTAATCTTGATGATAAGGCCTCATGATGCCCAATAACACAATGTAAAATGTCAGAATGTCAAAGTTTTAATAATTCCAGGTTAATGAGATCTTTTTTGATTCAGATGATCTTGCTGTCAGATGGGGTAATTAAGATGAACTAATACTTTTGTTGAACATCCATTAATTCTTTGTTCCCAGAAAATTGAGAAGTGTGTCAACAGTGCAGGTTTATTGTCTAAGATGCATTTAATGAGAGCACAGTATCCACTGAAAACTCCCAAACGAGAATAAATGTTGAGTGGAAGGAGTATTTACTGGGACATAACATCACATTGAGTTGTTGGGGAACAGAAGGGTAATGAAAAGAACAGGACTAAGATGTATAAAATTTGTACTATAATGAAAAATAATGTTGTTTCTCGTATAATGAAAAATAATGTTGATGGATTTATTCACTTTTTCCACTAATGAAAAAGGAGACACATAAAGAGAAGGACCAGTATTTAAAACCATCTCAAGTAAATCTCTTTTAGCTTTTTATGATCGGTTGGTATAATTTAGTATCATAGAGTATTCAGGTGGTATTTTAACTGAAGAAGACTGAAAAGTTTATTGATAACATTCATAAATAAGAGAACTAAAATGTACAAAACAAGAATAATTCTCTTATTCCAAGGGATAAAATGGTAACGATTTTTGGAGAAAAAAAAAAATCACTCGTGCTTTTCTCCCCTCAGTGTTATGTTGTCTTCTCAGTATTTTTTTTAAGGACTAATTTTTATTTTTAAATTGATGACAACAGTATTTTTATTTATGGTTTATAGTCCCAGGCTAGCATGTTTTTATCACCTCTGCTTTAATGTGTGTATACATGTGCATACAGAAAAGAAACACACTATATTTCTAACTCTTAAGTATTTTTTTTCTGTCCGAGGAGGATATTGGAATTGTAATAATAGTCTTCTAGGTTTCTTCTAGTAAATCATAATGTATGTTTACTACAAGTATTCAGTTTCTTTGCTGGGAGATACAGAATGGGAAAGGGGATACTTGTTTTCCTTTTTAAAACAAAGTAACTAATGCATTATGTTAATGCTTTTATGTGAAAGCTGGTGTTACCTTTGTCACAGTTGAAGTCCAGCTTACAACAGTTTTTCCCCTGTTTATAGTTATGCAGCTTCATTGGTACCAGTGGTGTGTATATGTGAGATTTACAAAGGCAAGGTATAGACGCAGGAGCCTATTTTCCCCTTTGTAATCAGCCGGGAGAAATGAACTGCTTTTAGGGTATTTCAGTCTGTGATTTTGTAGTAGTGCACGAATTGAGGGAACCCGTTTGAAGGTGCTGCTCCTTCTGACATTCATTCGCAGAGGGTAGAATGGGAAGACGGGGAGGTACCATCTGAAATTCCAGTCCCAAGTTCTTCTGTCTGATCTCTGAATTTTGGAGTGTTCCCTTGGACCTCTGTTTCTGTCCTGTGATTTGCTTCAACCGCTGAGGTAGCATCGGATATTTTTTCCCCTGTTCCCGCTGGCTTTGTGACTTCCAGTGGGAAGAAGATTTTTTATTACAGTGGTTATTAGACATTCACCTTAGAGATGGGAGATCTCAGTCTCCAACAGCTGGAGTAGAAGCTAAAATCAAGGCCAGTCACTTACTGAGCCAGAGGCATAATAATCGGATTGTGGTAGAAAATGTGGGTGGTTATATCATCATGGTGCAGTGCAAGCACTAACGAGGTAGCATTACACCCTGTGTGGATAAGTTGAGACACACTGTGTGATTGCATTTATTTGCAATGCTGTATGCAATGCCTTTTTCAAAAAACACCCATGCAGGTTAAACTGCTCTGGCTGCGGGGGAGATTATTTGCAGCACACTTTAGCAATGTCTTTCAAACTCAGCCCAGATAAGACAGGACACCGAGCCACTGCTTAGATGTCCCAAAATTGAGAGCAGCTCAGTCCCTCTTTCACACTGGAGGGACAGACAATATTAGTTGGTAGTTCCAGCCAGCTCTTAGTCTCTCCTTTGTACAGTGAACTGCTTCTTTCTCAAGATGGTGCAGGAAAATTGTGTAGAAAAAGAAGAATCCCCGAAAGAAAAAATTCTTTTAACAATTACACAGCTGGCTTACTTATCTTTAATGTCATGCTAGTGCAGCTCATGTTGTATAAAACCAGGATGACCTAGTGATAAATTACTTTACATGTTAGTATTTGTTACAAATATTCACGCATGCTGAGGTAGCCCTACAACAAACAAGTCCTTTCTTGCATAGTTTTATCAGAAAGAAATAGGAGGAAAAGAGTTGTCATGCTTAAGTGGTATATTTTTATATTCTTAATTTAAATGCTGCTTTTCTATTATCCTTTTCCAAGTACCTTGTGATGACGCTGTTATGCATTTACATACACATGATCTGCTCCGACTTGGAAAGGTTTCTCAAAAATGGTAGCAAGAAGTATGGGATTTTTTGCAACTGGTGTTAGCAGCTGGTAACAGCAGCTGATTTTCCTCACAGAGGAGAGAATGTCTGTAAACATCCTTGTTAGTATTTTGGGGGTTTTTTTCATTCTTGAAGCTGGATCCAGCTTCTACTGAAGTTACAGCTTGAAGCAAATACTTCTTAAAGGAGATATTCCAGTAGGATAGCATTAACTTATAGATATGAAAGTTAAATATTCTGTTAATGTCTATAAAACAGTAACTGTTACACAGATCTGGATTTTGGTTTGGTTTCCCCCATATCCTGCATTGTCATGTTTCCATCACCTGTGTTCTGGTTTAGGTTTAATGCCATGAGGCAGCTTGTTGTCTGATTTGCTTCATTAGTGATTGTTGTAGATGATTCATGGTATCTGTACCGTGAGAATTTGACTTAATGGAAATGTGTAGGCAGTAGTTTGCTCTCTTTATGTGCAAACTTGACATTGAATGAAACCCATGTGCAGATGTCAATTTCCTTCTTAAGAAGTTTAAAAAAAAAAAAAAAAAACAAAACCAAAACAAACCCAAGCAGTAGTGTGTAGACAGACTGTATTTGGTAAACTGTAGGCATTTTTTAATGATTGTTATTGTTTATCAGCCTATTTACATTCCAGCCCTTTTCCTGGAGTGAGGGAGTACTTTAACAAAATATTGGATACCTGAAAAAGATAAGAAATTTAAGTCTAGACCAAGAGAATTGAATCTTAATTGAAACATTCAAGACTATTTGCACTTTAATTTGGGTGAACTTGGTTTGGAAGTCTTTCAGATTTATGCAATTCCATTTGTGGGCTACATGTACTAGTGATGAAAGTTCTAGTATAAGTAAGCTCTTGTTGAGCTTTCAGGCTCTGTTCTATAAATAATGAAGAAAAAAAATTACTAGTGAAGTAAGACTCTTCAAGAACCTGCCTTTTTTTTTTTTACCTGGCCTTTTAAAAAAGTCCATTGATTTAAATCCCTTTTTCTGTATGTCAGAGTAATTTATGCAAACAATTTTCTGGTTCCTTCATTTTTTTGTTGTCAAAACTGTTTTCCAGCTTTCTGCCCACCACACACATTCTCAAATACTTTTTTTGGTAAGATCTGATTCTTGTGAACATTCCAAAATAAGATATTAATACTGAGATTGCACATTTCAGTCCAAATGACCTCAGGGGTGATTATTTGTGGCCTCTGTGGGATCAAAAGCCAATGTAACTCCAGTCAGAAAGTAACACCCACCCACACCCAACGTCTGTGTGTACATGTATTTGGGCTCTTGTAGTGGGGAATTGGGAACAACTTTAGCACCTTAATTATAACCATAAGAACCTTTTGGAGGGATTACATGACACGCTTCTACCTGTTCGCACTTAATCCAGACACACTAAGATACATAAATAATTTGTTAGCTTTAATTACTTTTGTGTAGTTAGTAGTTGAGTAGGAGAACTTCACATAAGCTGAGGCAGAGCACACACATTCCCAGGACCACAAGCTCAGGCAGCTTAATGGCATTATGGTGGACAATCTAGTAGACACAGGAGTCTTAAAGAACCAGACAAACCTTTGGTGACTCAGACTTGCAGTTGTCACTAATTGGCCAAATGAAAAATCTCAATTCACTGGACAAATACTTAGTTGTCTTCAAAATAGTTTAATTGTAATTAAGCCACTTGGCTTGAGGGCTTACTACTTTTCCAAGAACTGCTGTTTTTTCCAGAGGAAAAGCATAAGCATTTCAGAAGTGGTTTCTGTATTTTAACAGGTCATGTGGACGGAATTGCCTTGCCAGAACTTTCATCTTCTCCTTTGCTGTGCCATCTTAGAATCTGAAAAACAGCAAATAATGGACAAGCACTATGGCTTTAATGAAATATTAAAGGTACTGAATTCTTATGCATTATTTGAATATTAATTAACTTTTTGGACTTAATGTACTATGTTTGTATTTCATGTTGGGGGGAGGAAAAGGTGTGTACTACTTTCTGAAGGGTTAAACGTGAGCTGAATGTCTATCCTCCGGGCTTCCAAAATGGTCTATCTGACGTCTGTGTTCAGTGATAAGATCATTAACAGATGGAAAATGGTCTAGTCCTAATACTACTGCTTTGTATGTTCAACCTTAAATCTTGTTTTTTCTTCTATAATCATATTTGTTATCTCTTTGAAAATGTGAGCTGGGCGGGTACCCAGGAGGGCTAGATAGTTTGTCACATTTAGAAGTACAATATTCCTCTTGCAGATCTTGGACGCTGGTGGAAGCCAGCTGGTGTGTACTACATCTTTCAGTACCCATTTGTCACAGCAAATAGAGTATGTTTAACATGTCATAGCTTAAGAGGCAAGCTTATAAGGTGATACTTATTAGCAGTGTGGTACAGCATTAGTGTATTTTACAATAAAACATATATTCCACTTATCACACTTACTGTTGTTTGTGAATATTTTTTTTTAGCATATCAATGAACTGTCTATGAAAATTGATGTGGAATATATACTCTGCAAAGCAGAAGCAATTTCTATGCAGATGATGAATTGCAAGGTAAAGATATTTTGCATATATTTACTGTGAGCATTTATAGAGAGTAAAAGTATGTAGTTGGGTGTAAGTGTACATGTATGATGTGAAATAAGTAAATGCTCATGTATGATAAAGGATGTGCTGTATCTATACAGCACCTATATTCTAGAAGTCTGTAAGCAACAGTGATTATAGAGTAGTATCGTTCACAGGGGTAAAGCTGGTTTGTGCATTTTGATGGTGATTTCTTGACTCTTAGATAACCTCAGTACAAGTAATTTGATGTTTGGTGTGCTTTAGAAAATGAGATGAAAGGTGCATTGCACTGTAAGCACACCAGACTTCTTAGACAGAAACTAATGGTTCACTCAATAAAACTAATTTCAATAACATGAAGTGTAATTATAATAGTTTAGACTTTTATTTTTGTAATAAAGATTATATTGTTAATCAGGAATTGATTCCCGAGCCTGTCCTCTTTGCTGCCTTTTCAAAAAGTAGGTAAAGAAAATGGTAACTTTAATGGGACTAATGCTGAGAGCTAAATTCACAGGAATGATTATTTATTGGGGTGGGGGACAGACCAGGGGGGATCTTGTTGTTAACTTTTTTCATTTAATTACAGTGACTTTTAATATTTTTTATTATTATTTTCCATCCTCTTCCTCCCCCCCTCCGTTCTAGGAATTGCCACAAGCAGTTAGTGAGATCCTGGGGATAGAAAGCAGTTCTGTAACACCAGATTCGGATACCGGCGAGGATGAAAGCGGAGGTGTTTTGAGTTGTCCAACGTCATTATATCAGAGCATCTCACCACCTGTAATTGCTGCCAATGGAACAAGAGACAGCACTCAACAGATGCCTGACACGCAGAGCCTGACACCTGCGTAATTACAGTTGGTTATATTGAAGAAAGACTTTTACTGAGCACGTTTTTTTCAAGCACTTGAGAGATGGATATTTAAATTTGGTGTTGATTAAGCTTTAAGGTTGGAAAGAAAATCTGTACTGTAATGCTCTTGCATTAAAGCTTTACAACATGACTCAACTTAACTATTTTTGTAGTTTCTTCTACCAAAATAGCCTTTTCTTTTCAATAACATTCCTTAATATTTTTGTAGCCAAGTGCATTTTCTTTTTGCTGGTGAACTGGAAATGGATGGCGATTAAGAATTAATTGGAAAATTCTGCATTTGTTGAGTTTTCACACGTAATGATCTAAGACAGTGTGAGCTCTTTGATTTGAGCAGATTCATAAGAGGCCAGCTGAAGCCGCTGTACAAAATTTTCAGGCTGAAGAGATGCTGATGTGTTAAAGGAGGATTATTTTGTAAATGAATGGGTTTGCCCTATCTCAAATGTTTACAAAAATACTTCTAAGTATTTGTTGCTGGTTGAATGTAGATTTGAAATGGACATTTATACTTACACAGTTTAATGTCCAAATACAGAATTTTGTGTAACTGGGAGTGGATGAACAGTATATTTTTACATTAACATATCTTCACTTTATATATGCATATATATATATATATTTACACACATACACACACTATATACACAAATGTTTGTGAATACTAAAAAGGATAGTCATATTTTCAGTATCTTAATAAACTTGACTGTTCATTCATATGAATCAGTTTGACCAAATTAATGCACAGCTCCAACTTGGGCTCTTTTTCAAAACTTTTCTAACTGAAGGTCACAATTTCATGTGAATACATTCAGTCCTTCACTTGAGGTAATTTTGCAATTGATTTCTTGCAAACTTTACTAATGTTTATCTTTGCTAATATATTAACTGATCAATTAACTACTTACACTGTTTTTATGGCAAGATTATTTGGATAATTAGTAAGCAGAAAAAGAAACCCCACAAACCAAAATAGTAATCAGAATTAACGTTAATGCGTTTTATATTGTATATGCAAAAGGCAGTGTGAGTTTATTCCATGCCATGCTGATGTCCTTTGACGTTATGTGAAATTTAACATAACTGATTCAGTGTATTCATTATTTGGTAACTATTGTACATATATAAAATAAAAATCAAAGCTGATTTAGTGTTTTTAATTAAATCATATTTAGAGAAAAAAAGTTGTCTGGTTGTTGATATAAGAACATGAGAGAGAGGGGATAGCTAACAATGGTTAGTTCATCAATATTATATATTTTGTGAGTAATGAAGAGCAGTGGGAATATGTTTATTATAGAGAGGAACGTGCCTTTCATCTCTAGGTGGTTGATGTGTGGGATATGGCAGAGCTTTCTTTTCTTCTGGAGCCGTTTACTTTTACAAATGTCATTTGTGCCATCTGAAGCAAATACAAGTAATACAGAAAGGCTTTAATAGATAAATCAAGTTGTTACAATATTTTGAGACCCGATTAAACTTCTCTCACCAGTTGTGAACAAACACCAGAGCGTTGAATCGGTGTAGATTTTGTTTTTAATATCATCAGTGTGCTATCGCTCATCAGTTAATAAGAAGAGCCTTACGCGGTGACAGTCAGGGGTTCACAGCTCAGCATATCTGTGGCCTTTCATTTCCTCTCCAGGAAATTACCCTGAAGCATCTCCCTTTGTTCATTGTTGAACATTGTGCTTCTTGGCAGTTCCTTTAGCGTGGCATAGAATACAGAAAGGCATTAGAACTTATATAATCAACACTTCGGTTCAATATACTAAGCAAGTTCACTTCCAGTATTTTTGGAGCACCTAGTTCACTTTGAAGTGTACGTGCAAAATGTTTTTTTGTCAAAAATGATGTTAAAATGGAACTATGGAAGTGGGGGGAAGGAAGTGTCTAAAACAGAAATGCAGTGGGCAGGTCTGTCAATTAACTGTGTGTGGTTCTCGGTTATTCAGGATATGCAGCCACAAAAAAAATATGTATGCAACAAATTAAGATCTTGAAGAAAATTGACTGAATATGAATATTCAAATATTTAGGAAAGCATATTTAAGTGGAATTCTGTCACTACTTAGAATTACAGCTATGGCTGCTAAGAACTACTACCAGCCCTGAAAGTTTGCCTTTCCTTTTTGGGTAGAATTTTCCCTTTGTATTAAGCACTGGGGTGTGGAGGATGAGAAGGTTGCTCCTGAATTATCCAGTGAGCAGCTGCGGTGGAAGACTTGGAGTAGGTCAGCTTCCTCTGCTTCCCAGCAGTAAGGTCAAGCCTTGCCACCCTCCTGCTGACAGGCAGCCTTGCAGGGAGCTGCAATTAAAGGGAATCTCATCTTCCACCAAACTATTCCTGAGTGTTAGGGGTGGCTTTTGTAGTCTCGGCTCAGACTCTGTGAGAGGCCTTAATCGAAATTGCGATGGCTCAAAACATACCATGGGCTGGAGGTTCTGGCTGTCTAAATTTCTTTTGTACATAAATAATTTGGGTTGCTTAGAATTAACATGTATAAATTAACTTGGAATATGAAAGAGGCAATACTTGTTTAGTTCCTGGAAACCAATTTTGTTGGTTTTGTTTTTTTAATGCTTGACTTAAAGATAATTATCTCTTGGGAGTTAGTATTTAAAATATCATACTTGTCAATCATAGCAGTATTCTAGTATTATCTGTTCCAAGGTAAAAATTACATTTATGTAGGTCTGTCCTTAAGAGATATTTTTCTTCTGCCTGTTTGGGCAACTTACTTGTTTCCAAAGTACATTCTTGAGGGCTTTTTCTTATGTTTGAGGGCAAGAGGATAGCTTACAAAAAGAAGTGGCTGAAGCTTCTTGGAAGTTTGGACCAACATGAATATCTTTAGGAGGGTTTTGATACTGGGAGGTTAAAAAAAAAAAATCTATAAGAGGATGATGCTATACTTAATTGCCCATAGTAATGACTTAAAGCTTCAGCTGAATTGAATATGTTTGGCAAACGTGTGCCTGTCCTATTCGTCTGTAATGGTTGGGTTTGCTCCCAGTGGCCTTCAAACCTCTGTCAGGTGTGGAGGTTTTGTATTCATTGTGGGGCATCTTCCTAAAGAAGATAAAGGCTACATACATCATTACACCAGGTCCTGATTGCTTTAGGAACCAAATGTGGAAGTACTGTGATGTTGACTGTATTAGCAATGTTTTGATCTGTAGTTTGATTAAAATTAAGGTGTCAATGTTCAACAAACCCATTTTGTTGCCAACAAGGTTTTTCTTAAAGCCTTTGCATGTTTCTAGTGGACAAATTTAAGATGCTGGTGGTGTCTCTTCAGTTATTCTCTCTCGTTTTTCCTCATGTATTACTCTAAAATCCTTTGGCCCCAGTCAGCCAAAGCAGTGAGGAAGCAGATTCCTCACTACTTTCAAATATATTCTTGAGCACTGAATCAAAGCTCTATTGCTGAAACTTTTCAGAAATCCATGAAAAGTATTCTAGCTTTCACTTTTTGTGATAATATTTTAGCTCAAAATAAGTGAGGGACTTTTTCCTCACTTTTTCTAAAGAATTTCCTGTTACAAGACTTGCCTAACTTGAAAAACTGTTTTATTGTAAAAGATCTGGCATTCAGAATTTGGACCACAAACAAGTTTTGGTACCACTGGCACAACTTACGTGTCCTGGTGAGATGCAAATGAAGCCTTACCAAGGCTTGAGTTTGAATTGGGATTGAATTTCTGTAGGCAAAAATCTATATTCTCCTCAAACTGTTCCTTGTAAGACAACAGAAACAACAATGCTGAAGGTGCTAGTGACATTTTAAAAGCGCATCTGAGAATTGATTCACATTATAAATATGATGGGGAAAATGGTAATTAAGTAGGTTGTGTGCGGGAGTAATCATTTGTTTAGGAAATGTGTTAACTATTCTTCAGACTCAGTTTTAGTCAATGTTCTTGTACAGATGCAGCATAAAACTGAAGTTTGGTCCGTGGGCTGTAGGGAAGTGGCTGGTAACCTGAATTCATTTGTGGCTGGCTAAATAGCTTGGAATGTATTTTTCAAATCTGTTGACCATTTCTGGGAACATTTCTAGTCAGTGGCTGGTGCCGTCTCCATCTCTGTGAAAGGAATCATGGCAGCGAGGTCTGTGCTTGTTCTTAGGGCAGATATTCCATGAGCTGCTCTGGTGGCTGGGATTAAAGCAGGAAATCTTAACCCTTCGTTTTTTATGTGCAATGATGTACCTATATCTGGCTCAACAGTTGACATGACTGCATATATGCATTGATAAGGTAATAAGAGACACATACACATAATATCCATTTAACAGACAGATTTCATATATGTCTGCTATTATATTTGATTTAAAGATGCTTTCAAATACTTTTTTTTTTTAATGGTGTACACATGATGAATTGAGCTTTGTGTTTAGTGGGACTTGAAAATGTCTGCTATTCAATTAAGTGATGTTACTGCAGTGCCGGGCCTCGTATAAATTCAGCTTGAATTTCATTTTTCATTCAAGTGGGGATTTTAATCTTAAATGTTTTTTAGAGAACTGTGTGCTATTTTTTCATGTTAAATCACTATCTTTGGCACAAATTGAATTTTCTGATGAATTGCAAACAAAAAATATATTGCACGATGTCACTTTTTTTGCCTCATCCAAAATGAATTTCACAATTGAATCAAATATATATTTCAAACTGTCCATGTAATTCAAATAAATGAAGTCTTCTAGATGGGTTATGTTTTGAAAGAATTCGATTATAGTACACATTTTGATTATACAGGCTATGTGTTCCCTGCCTTAACATTAGTTCTTGGACTGTTTCTACATATGTATCTTGTTACTCAGCAACTAAATGCAGGAGCCCATTGTGTAGAGCTTAATTTTTTGCCCAGTAAATGGTGGCCACTTGTTTCCTCTGTGTGCTGTGGTTGACCCTGGCCAGCAGCCAAGCACCCACCCAGCCCCTCGCCTGCTCCCCTCTCCCATGGGATGAGCAGAAAATAAAAGGAAGGCAAGAAGGCTCCTGGATTGAGAAGATGACAGTTCAACAAGGAAAGCAAATGCTGCTCCTGCACAGGAGGATTTCATTCTCTGCTGCCCTTCAGCAGGGAGATGTTCAGGCACTTCCTGGAAAGCAAGGACTCAGCACAGGTTCCTTGGAAACATAAACACCAAGACTTGCTTCCTCCTCCTTGCCCTGAGCTTTTATTGCTGAGCACAGTGGTAGCACAAGAAAGACATGGACCTGTTGGAGCGGGTCCAGTGGAGGGCCTCCCCCGTGAAGACAGGCTGAGGGAGCTGGGGTTGTTCAGCCTGGAGAAGAGAAGGCTCCGGGGAGACCTTACAGCAGCCTTCCAGTACCTGAAGGGGGCCTACAGGAGAGATGGGGAGGGACTCTTTATCAGGGAGCGGAGTGATGGGATATGAGGGGTAATGTTTTTTAACTGAAAAAGAGGAGGTTTTGGGTTCAGGGACTTGATAATTTCTCAAGCAGCAAAACAGTACAACTACTGCTACCAAAAGGGGCAGTCCCACTTCCTTGTTCTCCATCCTGTGTTGCTACATCCTTTATGCTGCTATGATTAATTAGTGCAGTGTATGGTGAACTACATAAAGGAGCTGATAAATTTCCAATTTAACCAGTTCTTTTGGCCAGATCAATCATACCACACATTTTTTCATCCTGAGTATGTGCATACAGCAAGTTTGTTAAAATCATAGATTTGCAATACTGGAAGGCACTTTTGAAAGCTTGTGAATAATAGACCAGCTAAACTATCTCCTGTTGGAAGGCATGTCCGTCTCCTGCCAGATGTTTGTCTGATCCATTTGGAGGACACCTTTGTAGATCCTGCAGTCAATTGCACAAGTGCTTTTCAGGTGTTTGTAGACTTCCAGGGCACACTGAATGATCACATGCAGCTGGTGACTTCTGTAGCTTCTGGCTCCCTTCCTATCAGCTCTGCCTTCTCTTGTAATTGTGCAGCTGGTCATCGATGAGTAGTCCTTCCTCCCTGTTGAGATCTGTTTAGATTTTATAACTGTTACAGCACCTCTGAGGTGGGTACAGCCTGGAAATTTACAAGTGGTCTCTACATGGTCATTGAAGCTATTATTAAATAGTGCAGGAGTGAGGGTAGGTACCTGTGGTTCTCCTGTTCTCTGCACCCTTCCATTTAACAGCAAACCCACCCATTTGTCCAATCTGTTAGTTTCATCTGGATTTCCCTTATCTGCCTTGTGAGAATGTTATGAGGGACCACACCAAATGCTTCACTGTCATCAAGATGAATGACGTGTATTGTTTTGCCTTGGTCCACAGGACTGACATAAGAGGAAATGAGATTTGCTTGACTCAATTTGTTCTCAGCAAATCCATCTTGACTGTTTAATAATCTGTTATCTTCTAGGTCTTCACAAATAACTTCTGTTTTCTGAAACAAATGAAATTAGACTGGTCCATAACTCTTCAGCCCTTCTTCCTCCCCAATACCTTCTTGAAAATGGACATAATTTTGGCCTTTTCCCAATTTCTTGTCACTTGTCCATCCCCTTAGTTCTTAAAATAGTTATCAATGACTAACATGTAACGAGCTGACTCTGTAAGGGTGGCTTCTGCGCCAAATCACTTGCTATGATCAGAATTATCCCAAGTATTCTCCAACATTGCTTTATCTTCCTAAAAGCTAAGAGCTTACCCCTCTGCCTTTGCTATTAATAATGACCAATCCCTGGTCACAGGTGATGCTTTCAGCAAAGAATGATGTAAAAAAAAAAAAAAAAAAGCAGCATTACATACTTAGATAATTTTAAGTTTTTCAGTTTGTCCTTTCATGTTTAGTAGTGGTCTGATACTTCAATTCTTCTGGCTGCTGAAAAAATTGCTTTTGATGTCCTATACTAATTACTTTGAATTTTGTACCACAGCCTTTGTCTATGCATTAATGTACTTGTATTGGTCCTAGTTTTCACCTCCTATAAGCTACTTCTTTGAATTGAAGGTAACGACAAACTAATGACTTATGATACTGCTAGTAAAAGCGTAATAGAAGACTACGTTTCCTCTACAGTGAAAGGGTTTCTTGGTGAAACCCTACTTTTTTCCTGAAGCAAGGAAAGAATTGTCTTTCTGCACTAGGTTTCCTCCCCTTGATGCTGTAATAACTGAATTTACTCTTCCTAGCCAGTCTATCATTTGGTAGATATCCTTTCCCAACAGCTGTTGTTTGATTAAAATCCTCTTAGTGCTATTAGAACTTGGGCTGATTTTGCTGGCTGCTCTGAAAACCTATGCTTCTCATATCTTCATGACTTAAAAATTAGATCTGTGTTCTCATCACAGATTTTTCAGCAGATTTTTTTCACAGATTTTGACCTATCTCACTCAGAGAAATGGACTTTGGACTTGGTGTGTGTATCTTTGATAATCTGGGAACTGATTGTACATCCTTCTTCCCTTCTTGAAGGAGCTCCTTTTGCTAGTCCACTTGTCAATTATTTCACAAAGTCCTTGTTTTAACAAATAAATGATAATTTGACTAGGCATCAAGACTTCTATTTTCTGCTTCTGTCAATGTCTTGCATTAATAAGAAGCATATCTGTTTTCCTCCTTGTCGCCTTGAATTTTATGTTGGATAGTGTTCATTTTTAGATCCTTGTGAAGTCCACCTTTCTTTGTGCTTTTTTGGATACTTTTTCATAGTATCGTTTCTTTCCATATTCTGCAACAAGTTGACTTGTTGTTCTCTTTCCTGCTGCAGCAAGCCTGTAGACAAAGACTTGGCGGTGATCTGGGAGAGCCAGAGGTAAATTCAGATTATTTCTTGGTGTACACTAGCTACCTCTGCACTGTAAATTTTATCCTCCTGTTAAAATCAAATCAGAGGTGTTGAAGTTGCTAGTATATGTCATCAAACTATGGTAAATGTTACAAATAATTTTAAGGAAAACTATGCTGTAACGGACAGCCAGTATCTCTAAGAGCAAAAAATGACTCAAACATTGAAAACACCTCACAGACTTTCTTCAGATTTAGAGTTAATTTTTCACTTGAGAATTCTGCATTCTTAAGCTTAAAAAGTGCACAGTTTAGGAGTTCAGACAACGATGACTGTTCTCTCGTAAGAGGAGAGAAAAATATGTGTGTGTAAGGATCTTGGAGTTTCTGAGTTCTGATTATTGGCAATAAGATGCTTTTTAGAAATAAAAGTAAGACAGAGCTTCATTTCTTACGATCAACACTAACCCCATCTCCCAAAATGAAATAAGATTGTTCTGTGGTACACTTAAATATGTTCTAGAACCGATTTTTTTTAATAGCTGCTTCAATGAACTTCCAGGTTTTTTAGCCAGCAGTTTTAAAGTGTTCACTTGTGTTATGTATACAGCACTGTGAACCATAGAAAAATTAGTTGAACTCTGGCAATACTGCTAAACTACAGATTTTGTTTAGAGCCAAACACCAGTCCTGTTATCTGGGCCACACCTAGAAGAAATAAACAAGAAATAAACAACGAAGAAATAAACATTTTCAGCCCATAAATGTAGGCCCTTCACTCTGGCATTGCTATAGGAAAGTCTACCTACAAAATACAAGTTGCAAAAGAAGAAATTCCTCTCCAGGGAGAATCAGTGTCTCTGCAGCATTCACGGGCAGCACAATTAAAATAGTTGAATTTTAGTTTTCCCTGCCTGTTTTAAGTAGCTGCTGACATAATGTAGCCGTGTTTGTTTCGGATTCATCAGTCGCCCTGAAGAGGTTGTGGGAGACAGAAAACCTTTGCCATTCTCTGGTTGTCACAGAGCTGTGACAGCTGTGACAGACAGCAAGGCTACCGGGTAGTAGGGCATTGATTTGTGGGATGTCCCAGCTGCAGAACTAACATCTAACAGTAGGTAAAATCTACCATGGTCTGTCATGCTGGTAGGAGAAAAGCCTGCTTGGTAGAGCTTGCTTTTGTCATTGGAGTATCTGGAGAATGTTAAGTGATCTCACTCCCATAAATAGTTCAGCTGCAGGAATGGTGTCTAGGTATCTCAGGTAGGAATATCAAAGTCCAAAGACTCCAACTTGCTTTCCCACTATTAAAAATAATGAATAAACCTGTCAGAGAATATCTCTTGACAACCCAGGATACGAGACTGAAATAAAGTCTTACTTTACACGTAGACATGCTTTCCTCTAACTGGGAAAATGCAGTAAAACTTTGTTAGCATAATGAAAATCTTGATTCACATTACAGAAGCAAGTAGAAGAATCAAGTATTATTACCATCTTACTGTCAAGCAGAAGAAAGGATCCTTATTACATTTCACACATGAGAAACGCTGGAAAAGTGAGGCTAAAAGGGTTTGCCTCAGGCCTCCCGCCAGTTCTGAGGCATCTGTGAACCTGTCCTGGACCTGATCATCGAGTGTGACCATCCATTTTAAGAAGGTCATCTGACTGACAACAGCCAGTTTAGACTGGAAGCTTTTGCTGGTTTTTGTTAGTTGTGATAAATGGTAAGATTTCACGATACTCCATGGGAGCTATGAAACTGTCTCAAATCTTCTGTTGTGCTTCTGTGTTGGTCTCTTTTAAAGAGCAAAATGAATTCTGTGATGACGCAGATCTGTAAATGCTTGTTCTACGATAGTAAGTCTAGCAAGGCTAAAGGCACGGAGGTGGTGAAAGGAGGCAACCTGCAGCTGAGTTAGATTGTGACATGAAGCTCAGCACTGTGAGC